CCCCAAAACCCCAAAACCCCAAAACCCCTTATTTTAATAAAAATTTTGAATATTACAATTTACATCAAATAGCATGAATATGAGAGAGTCAGATATGGAGAGTGAAAGCGAGTTTGATATATTCAACAACGACTATGACTCAGGCATTGGACAGAATGTCTCCTCTAGTAATGAAGATCCTGCCTCCATGGATAAAATAGAAAACAAATAAATCTGCTAATAACTCAGAGGTGGTAGTAGGCAAAGATGGTGGTAATAATGAACAGCTCAGCAGATTATTTAAAAGACCATCTCTTTCTATGAAGTTACAGAAGGACACTCACCACAGAGTTTCTAAAAAGCAAGTTCAGAATTTCAAGAATAAGATGCAAAGTTATTTTGTGCATAAATAAGATTAATTCAGATCAACCGATAGATCCAATGGAGGACGAAGAACGAGAACTAACTCAGTTAAAATAACCAAAGCGAGAAAAATCATCTTGATGTGGGTAAAGGAGGAAATTCTTCAATGAAAAATTCATTTGGGACGACTAGTGCTCAGGTCAATTACAACCGATCTATAAATAAGCGGTGCTCTGCTTCTAATTCAGAGAAGGGGTATGACTCTATGCGTAGAAAGAATGAAAATAGACCAATTCTAAAACAAGAGTGTGTAGTAAATAATCAAATTCAAGAACAGAAGAACTCCTTCAGCTTAGAGAATAATAATGATGTGATGAATAAGTCTAATTTCCTGACTTATGATAAAAAGGTTAAAGCTTTTCACAACCTCAACCTAGGAAATAACTCAGTTCACCTAGAAGATACAAAACTAGTTGTACAAAAAGAATCAAGCAAGGAAAATAATGATAAATGTAAAAATCATCGTATTGCGAAGAAATCAAGTAATTCTGTTGTTGTTTCGCCCCAGCCTAGGGTGTCTCAAGAGTCATTCAACAAGATGTCTCATTATGTAAACAATACTTTCAGAAAAGCTTCGGGAAGGAAAAATTCATACTATTCATTCTCAAGTCAAAGAAGAAAGGACAATTTTTCTAAAACAATGAATAATCCAAGGAGAAAAGGTTAGTTTATTCGAGAAACCAATTATTAATTTTTAGATGGTACAAAATCTGAAAGACCTTTCTCAGTGAAAAGTAATTCAAGTAATAGAGATGGGGGATGAGGAGTCCTCTCTTCAGACTCAATTTCTATTGCCAGTATGCGGCCAACAGATAACAATCCTGAGTCACTAAGAAACAAAAACAATCAATTAAAGTCTGAGCTGCATAAATCTAGAAAGAATAACGGAATCCTAAGGAGCAAGCTTGCCAAGAAGGATAGAGAAATTGAGAACCTAAGGGACAAAAAGTGAACTCTTCTAGAAAAGATCGAAATGATGGAAAAATCTCAACAAAGGGATAAAGCCTACATAGAGTCCCAAGAAAGACACATAACTGCACTCCAGCACCAACTAGACAACCCTCCTGCTCAAGATATAGAAAAAGACGACCTTCAGAGGTCTCTAGAAGACGTTATCAGCGTTAAAATGAAGTATGAGAATATTCTAAAGTTATTAGTGCAGAATCCAGAGGTGAAACCTATTATTGCTAATTTATTTAACTAATCTCAACGAGTGGCCTGTTCTAGGGGTTTTGGGGTTTTGGGGTTTTGGGGTTTTGGGGTTTTGGGGTTTTGGGG